CACTGGTTAACAGGCAGCTTATTTTCGTTATATCAGGTCTTTGGTCAATTTTAACAAGTTAGAGTAGGAAACCTGCACGAGTCTGTGCCCCGAGATGCAGAAAACACGCAAGGCAATGCTTTATTTAGATGGACTGAAATAGCTTTCCCATTCGGAAGGGATCGTGGATTTGCATCGGAAGACTATCACCCCATGGAACTTTCGATTTTGAACATATGGAAAGTTCTTTTCGTACAGTCTAGCTTTAATATACATATAATTTAGAAATAAATTGAGCAAACTATCAGCAGCTCTAGCAAAATAACCTCATTTATATGGCCATTCATAGTCGTAGAGCGGAACCGGAAATTGAACAAAGATAGGGAAAATGGTCGCAATTTAAGGAGACGCGATCTCCTACTTATTGCCTTAGGAAAAGTATCATTATTTTTCAAATCCGTGAAAGACACAGCGAAAACCATCAAACTGATCCTTTGGTTCACCGTATAAAAATGCTAAGCAGACTGATATCCATCAACAGGGAGCACTCCTCAAAGAGGTAATTTATTAGACAAAGTTTTCCAATTGATCAAACGCGTATCCGTTGTTGACGTCTCTGGTGGAGGTTTCATGTTTGAGTGGGTCTTCTATTCTAGCAAATTTCCTCGGACTAATAAGACGACACCGATTGGAGCCGAGGGTGCCTCTAAGCTGGCAACCGTCATATTTTTGTGTTATAGCGTTGAAAAATGACATTGTTATGTATTCTTCGACCTTCTATGATTCACGTTACGCCTATTCTCATTGCTTTGCCAAACTGTCAGTGTGGCAGTAAATAACATTTACTTTTTTCTTTCCTGCGTTTACTCGGTTTCCACGCAACTTTTACAATTTATGCTGTCGATATGAGCCCACTATTTGTCAGGGTCTCCTGAGCAACCTTTCCTTATAGGTAGGGCTGCTCATCAGATTGCACGAAAAAAATCCACTCTTTTTTTATGACAACTTTTATATTCTTAAAAATATTTCTCATATAGATAGACAGCAGAAACTCCATACGAGAGTCTGTCTTGTGCGCACAGAGGAACCCGGTACAAGCTCCATGTCTACTGTGGCCAAAAGTCGGTTAATTGCATACGCTTTTCAGCTCTGCACTGTACCCCTCCGCATCTATCCACCGTCCTCCTTACGCACTGTCTCTTATTTCTCCCGCTTTTGCCTGTTCTCTCAGTCCACACAAATGAGGAAACGACCTGTAATCAATTCCAGTTGTCACTCCTATACTTTACCTGTACTCCGTCCCCATATAAATGTACTCGCTCTCTGTCAGTTTATCAAAATCGCACACTTGATCGCCACCCGTATTCTGAATTAATTTGTTTTACCCTTTAGGCAACAGCGGGCGTCTTACGCGATTGCTTACTGTAAACCAGAGAGAATAAGTTCTAGTTAGTTTTTATTTATTTCACGTTTTCATAAAAGCTAAATACCTTACTGTGTGCTTCATGTCTTTAAGTGGTCTTTCAGTGCAACATTTGTCAGAATTTATTGGAGAATGAACTTCTATATCACAATAAGTAGAATGATAAGAAAACGTGAAAAAGTGAGAGTTACAAACGCTAAAGCATCGGCTTTAGGCATCGCTGGTATTTACAGGTCCTTATTTAATCAAGTTAATCCTAGGCCCAGACGCATCCTTTGGTGATGTGTAAACCTGTGCCTGTTCTGAAAACCTAGAGAATACGAACGTCTGCATCTGTCACGTGGTAACAACGATTACACTGATCTAGGATTAATCCATGTTTCGATGATACTTTTCTGTGGATAGGGACTTTTGTAATATTTTGTACGAACTAACAGCAAAGGTACTAACTGAAAACCCAGACACGCGTGCTTCCCCAATTTTGTGCCGCTGCCTGACGCAGATGCGTGCCTGAAAACGTCTGTTCCAGGAGAATTACTCAAAGTTCGCTCATAAATTTTCTTGGAAATTAAACAAAGCAATACAGGCACTCATTGGGAATACATCCAATCCATATGATAGAATTTCTTAATGTAAGTCCTATTTGATAGTGATATTGTCTGAAAGTACAGTTACACAAATGATAGCAAAGTTGGTATTGAGATTTCAAAGGCCGTGTGATTGGATTGTATGGGAAAGAATTTATAGATACTTCAACCCCGGCTTTTATCTGTGCGTCCAATTAACCAATTCTGAATTTTTATTTAACCCGTCTATACTGTAACTCTTGGTAAAAGAGCAAAGGCAGTGAATAAGCGGATCTTATGTCATATTTCCTACATATAACTCGCCTTACTGATCTTACGAGTAGCAAAGGCAATTAGTAGGACTTCACAAAACTGATTCATCCCCGTCATTTTTTTAGTTTGGTAGTTCATCCAGCTGATTTAATAAGTACCATCAAATTCCCAAAGAGAGTACGACGACAGTTTTAGACAGAATTTGGTATTACAGGGCAATTTAATTTAACAGCGTCTGTACTAGATAAATGTTCAACTATTTTGTAGCAGGTAAACAGTCAGGAGTCTAAGACTTTGCCATGAACCATGAGTCAAACAACCAGATCCGGGTGTATTGCGCCAAAAAACAGCTCCAGAAACCCTTAAGTACTTCTCGGTTGCTGGTTAAGGAGACGTAATTTAACATACCCCTCCGCTGAGGAAGAAGATGCACCTTTTGTTCCCCTCGATTTAGGGGGCACGCGAAATGGTTCAAAAAAGGAGGAATGACGTTTTTAGTGCACTGTATTCTGGGATTGTAGATTTTGCACTAGACAATCTATTTAACAAAGCTTTCCGTGTAGGTTTGAAGATAATTCATAAATGTTATAAGCAACCCATACTTACGTAAACGCTAGCTGTTATTTTTAATGATGCACATTATTTCAAAAGTCTTAAAATAAGCATAACCAATAAACGTCCATTAAAACTTATTACAGAGGATCCCTCCTTGATATGCTTTTGAATAAAGGCTAGCGCAACTCTGGTTTGCTTCATGACGTTCAAGTACAACACGTCCTATTGGAAGAGAAAAAGTCTATGGCGTATTACTGCTTAACTTTGTGGTGGGTTTAATTTCCCCGATAGCCAAATATCCTAGTCTACATAGGACAAGAATTGATAGAGACAAGTATCATTTTCTTACCAAAACACGGCGCTTAAATAGGCATTTGGCACCACTTCATAAAGTGCCCATTAAGCGTCCGCCAACAGGGCTATTGTCGATATCAACTGGGTTAGAATTAAAGAATCTTTTTGTTTGTAAATTAAATAAGCCAAAGTTAGGGTGCACTGGAGGTTTCGATTTTCTCCGGGTTACTTGCTGCTCAATAAATTTTATAAAAGTTTCAAATCATGGGGCTGTAAGTGTATCGATGAAGCTCGCAAACATTCGAGACCACATGTTACATATGCATAACTTAGTAAATTCATAGCTAGACAATACAAAAAAACGCTAAGGAAACTTTCGAATCGGTACAATTCAACCAATCCAAAATCAATTAATTGGACCCACTTGCGAAGAGCTAGGTGTCATTCTATTTCAGAGAGCAAGGTCAAGGCTTGAGACCAGAGATCAGGCTTTTTATTAAGTGTAGCTGCATTTGAATGTGTTTATAGAAAAATAAGAACGTTCGTAGATAACCACGGATCATAGTCTCATAAATTAATCCCATCTCACCGAAATAGCGTATTGTGAATGATGCCACAGAGGGTGAAACTACGAGGTAACAGTAGCACTTTTAGTTTTATCAAAAATGTATTATCGCGATCGGCCGTATTTATTTCCTGACATTTTAGTCCATATAAAAATAAATGTGCCTGTCTTTTGTCAGTGAATCAAGGCTCAAGGAGAAATAGATTTTATTCTGACATGTTTAAAGATGTAAAACAAGCCGTGCCAACTTTGTCTTTGCGGACCAGCTGGAAAAAATAGCAAGCATTTTACTGAATAAAAGTTCACATTAAGTCTGTAGGGTATTGGCTGTTTTTCTACGCCGAAAGCATTTATTTGCAGACAACGCATACATATGAAAACATCAGGATAAACATATTACGGAAGAAGACTAATCAACAACCGGAACAATTGTTTTATTCGTCTTAATTATGAACCCATGCAGGGGTCCATCGTCGGAGATAAGAGCGGCCAAACAATATTCGCGAAGCGGATTTGGAGGTAACTGCTTAAGATTTGGTATGCCGACGCTAAATCAATACATAGATCGACGGTGTTCTCATCCAAGGAACAGACTCTAAGCAATTTTCGACTTGTTATGCTTATGGCGTGGACGATTGTCTCGATGTCCGTAAAGTTCATTTCCTGACCCCTTCCGACGTTGTGGACAGCTATTTATAATAATCCATCACCCCGTCAAATAGTCAGCTTGTGTCCGTGTATGCGTGATCTGGGCGTAGTTAGTCTGACTTCTGTTATTACATTGACAACTTAGGCAGCTGATATGACACACTGAACACGACTGCTCGCCGGGATTCGGGCAAATAATGCAAATGATGGATTATTATAAGTGGTAGTCTACAACTTCAAAAAGGGTCACGAAACTAACCTCGCAATCAACAAGATAACAAATCACGCCATAAGCCTTACAAGCCGATAATTGATTAGGGCGTGTTCCTTGGATGCGAACTTCGTCCATCTATGTATTGACCTAGTGTCGGTATACCAAATCCTGAGCAATTTCCTCCAGATCCGCCTCACGAATGTTTACTTGGTCGGCCTTATCTCTGAGAATGGACTGCCGCATAAGTTCATGATTCAGTAAAATAAAAAAAATTGCCACTGCTCGAACACTCCTCTTCTTCTCTACAAACAGATGCAGCTCGAAGTTGACCATTAACCTTGTTCCGTGAAACTTATGAAGAATTCTCTAGAATTAGTAATGGTATAATCACAAGTTCAAAATTGAAATGTAGCAATATTTGGTGGGAATGTTTACTTGAGGGCAGACAGATTGTTTATTTCGAAATATATCAAGCTTTGTTTTTTAAACACGGACTGTAGATCGATCTGAAGTTGTTTCAGAAAAGTCTTCTTTTGGACCCGGCATTATACGGCATGGATCACAAATGGCGGCGCAAGGTGTGTTGATCTTGTTGCAGGCGCTTCTGTCATCACGAAGGAATAGCAAAAGAAGGAAGCCTGAAAAAAAGAAACTCGTCACCTCCTATTTCCTTAATATCTGTTAACAAATGTGAAATTAATTAATATTAGGAACATACTTATACACAAAATAGCAGTGCATGAGAGATACACTGCAGTCCACTTTCCCGCGATTTCGAATTGCGAAATGATTGCCGACAGCAACAGAGAGCTGGGAGCCTAAATATTACGAAAAATATCCGCTTATGCTAACAAAAATGTGCCGTGCGAAAAGGCGTATATTGGAGATGTCTTAAGCATCACTATTAAGGCTTACATTGGCCAAGAACACGAGACCGTATATTGTTGCCATATTTTTGTGCCCAAATAGGCTCGTACATGCAGCCGGCAAGAGCACATAATGCCCCGCCATACTGAAAAAGAGGGCGAAAATCCAGATGCCAAATAGAACATTCATGAAGCTAGCTTGGTTGATGAAAGGGAAAGTGGCCATGAATAGTGCCCATTGTAGCAACATCCAACCAAAAGGGAGCTGCAATAAAAATGCATATATGTGAGATGTGCATAACGAACTCTTAGGTGGCGACACCTGTATGTAGTTTAGACCACCCTTTTGAAAGTGCAGGACTATAAGTGCCAAAGCATAATAATGCACATACCTTGAACGAAAACTTGTCATTCACTGAGCCCCACAGCATCCCCTCAAAGCAACTGAGTACAGACTTCACTGTTACGATAATTGTCATTAAGCGGTCGTCCAAATTAAAATCTCCACCATACACCTTAAAAAATAATCAATAAATGCAAAAAGTGAAAATTCGAATGTACTAACTCAATGCAACCATTACTGGGACATAGCATACCTTGTAAGTGGACGTCTGAAGCGTAATGACCATGTTGACCAAAAAGGTTATAAAGAAGATTATGTAAAAGTCGATGGATCTCAGTGCTTCCGATACCGTATAATTGATAACTTCTTGCCTAAAATATGACGGATTATTGGATGCAGTGTTAGTATATATTTGTCTTTTATGGATAATTTCCAGATTTCTTACCTCGCCTTTTTATGGTCTATTCCGTTGTTGGCAATTGAATGTGATGAGTTTGGCCAAGATGAACTTTCGCTCGGTGCCCTATGCAGAAGCAGAAATTTATGCAAGCACTTGTTAAATTGGTGATAGCTCAAAAATGCGATCCGCCCGAATGTTGTTAGACGATCGCAAACGAACACAATAGAACATTTTGGTAGATATTTGAGGCACTTACTCAACGTCTGTTGATTCGGGACCCATTGGTTTCTATAAGAGTTAAACCTTTCAATAAGTAAAACCACAACTGCGATAAAACAGATTTTTCTCAACAAATTTACGTCAGTATTGGTGTTTTCTTTGCACTTCCTGCACAGACATAGGCCAATGACCTGTAGAACTAACATTAATCCGCCGAGAACAAGGAAGTTCTTTGGTACGTTATCTTTAACCTGTGGACTTAAGGTAGAAAAAACAATTATAAATTAATTGACGATCACAAATACATGGAAACAAACAAATAGATTGGACACAGGAACGATACTCGCCCTCATTCATCTTAGTTGATACATGTGTAACTGATATCAGTTGCATTTGTGTCAGTTTCAAGGGAAACTCACTCAGTTAGATTTCGGATGTTATGCGGATTGATCACAGCTATCTGAATTGGATTGAACACGAGACCTCCAATGCATAAACCAGCTGATAATATGCCCATTATTAAAGCCCGATTCTTCGGAAACCACTAAAATATTAAAATTGAAATGGACAATTTCCTTTAAAAAGAATTAATTGGTGCTTACTAGGCTTATTCTTAATGCAAAAGCCCGAAAATCCTACTTACCGAGGTAGCTATCGAAATAAGGACAGAGTATGGCAGTCCTATTCCGATGCCAAACATCACACTGTATGTTATAATGAAAGCTCCAAAACCATAATTGATGGTCAGGTAAGAAAGAAGAATTCCAGCGCTACAAGAAACAGACGATAAATAGGTAAGATGCAGTTCTGCAAGGAATGTGTTAAGTTTTTCCTAAAAAACAATTGATTTTTTAAAAATTTACTCACCTTGTCAATAGTGAGCCAATGATCGTTACGAGTCGGAAGCCTGTTTTTGAGGCTAGTATGCCTCCAACTGGCATACTCAATGCTTGCCCAGCAAATATAACTGCCTTAAACCATATGCACTGACTCCTTGATATGCCCAGATAAGCAATGAGATATGGATTCATGTTGCCTTTAAAAAAGTCATTAGTAAAAAGACGCTAACCAGTTGTGAGATTGTAACCAAATGATAAGTAAATGCAAGCAGATCCAAAAACTGTCAGGAAACCCCAGAGCTTTGGACATGGCATAACGTATAACGAGTAATCGTGAAAGTATCTCCCAAAATCGGCGCGATGAACTGCTTGTCCCCATCGCAGCTGCTCACCTGCCCCGCCACGTTCCCATTGGTCGTAAAGGGGGTACGCTGATTGGTTGGCGACTGTTTGTCGGTTGGCTGGCTACTCAGCGCTGATTGGCTGTGTCCCGATAGGTAATTGGCCCATTGTTCGACTCGCGGGAGTTTGAATATTCCACGCGTGCGGCATGCTATGGAGGCTGGTGATGCTACATTTGCGAGCTTCCAACGTCTTCTTCACGGGCGGAAATTCGCATCCTTTTCTGTGTCGTGCACACAGCTTTACTTATATGGCGCACTTTGTTTGATGCCTGGTCCAGCAATGCTGTCTGTGTGGCTGCATCCGACCCGCATGCCTTGACTATTCATAGGAGATGGGTTACCATTTCAAGCCTGTCAATTAGCGTAAGCTTCCCGCTGGCGGTCCCAATGCGGAGAAGTTTGTTTCTACAGTCGGAAATACGTGTACGTTTTAGCCTCAACTCGACAGTATGCTTGAAGTTTCGCTGATTCTAAAGTTAATGTGTAGCCGTACCGGCTGCGATGCTTACCCCAAGTTCCGGCGGTTGGCGTCACACCTGTCCTTCTTTTTCGTTCACTTTCAGATAGGACACTGAGTACAATCGGTGTCTCTTCAGATCTCATAAAGAAACACATAAGTCGTTTAAAAAAATCACACGACTCACACACGGACGGGATTTAAAATTCGATTGTTACACAAGCATCCGGCCTTCCTATATTGCTTAGTCATTTATTTTCGGTTTATATTTCAAAAGGATTGTTTCCTGAAACATGGAAATCGTCAATTATCATTCCCATCTTCAAGTGTGGATCTCGGTCCTACGTTAATAACTATCGGGACGTGCACAAAACGCCGTCTCTAGCAAAGCTTCTTGGAAGGATAATTTTCAATGAAATTCTTGACGTCTGTCAAGCTAATCGGCTTCTGAGCTCTAGTCAGCATAGACCGTTACCTGAACGTTCCTGCAAACCTTGCCACTTGGCATTTTGTAACCTAATCACTTCTTACCGTAATGAACAGCAGTCAGTGTTAGTTATCTACTTTGATCTTAGCAAAGCCTTCGAAAAGGTGCCTCATAGACTTTATAAAATGTTTGTTCTTCCAGTCCTCAAATACGGCTGTCCCTTCTTTGGTCTAATGAGCGTCCGTGACCGCAATAAAATCGGAAATGTTCAGAGAGTTTTCACCCGGAAACTGCTCTCTCAAGTCGCACCCGGTACATCTCATTGTCAGAGATGTCAACTGGCGAACATTAAGTTTTTGTGGCTGGCCTTTTTTTTCTTTTTCGCATCAACTTTAGCTCAAATCTTCCGCTCATTGACACTCTCACTCCCAGAGATCGGTCTTATGCCACGCACAACTCCTCCATGGTGTTTCCACCGCCTCTTAGCACCCTATCTAAGCGCTTCCTCTTCTTTGCTCCCAATTATGCCTTTCTTTTGAATAACCTTCCGCCAGGAATTAGGTCATCGTCTATGCTACTGGGATTTAAGTTGAAATTACGCAAACACCTTACACCCGAAAGCATAAAGGCACTTTTAACGGTCTCATTCCCGAACATTCAGCTTTTTGACTTCGAGAAGGGTGTTCCTGGCATTTAATGGCAGATCAAGTGGAACTGGTAACTCAGTCTACTGTTATCTCACCTCCCACATAACGACGATTTTCGCGGTTCTTGGTGTCATCTCCTCATCTCGACCTCAAGCGCTCTATCGGCACTCACGGCAGAACCCTATGAATGCACCGTCCACTTGTAGTCTTATTCTACCTGCCTTGCCAACTTCTCGACGGGGCTCGAAGTAGATTGTGACCGATCGCCTCTGTGTTCCTCTCGTCTCGCCAATTTGACGCAAGTAGTCTCATCCGACGTACAAATTCTGCTCTGACGATGCCCG